AGGTGGCTTGTCGTTAAGGCCCTGCCATGAAGGGGAGCGGCTTCAGCTTGGGATGAGCAGAAGCACACCTGCCCGGGGACAGCAGACAGGTGTCGTACCACCTGCCCCAGAGAGAAGCACGCTGGATTACTCGTGTTCTCTGAGGGGAGAACCAGCCGGGCTCGGGTGGGAGCTAGTGCTTAGCTGACCAGGAGGGTCTCTCAGAAAAAGGAACTGGCCCCTGGAAGAAGTCATGGACATGGAGTATGAAGCCGGGGGCCAGGGAGGTTGAAAAGCAGAAGTTAGGAGGGGAGACACCAGCCTTGTAAGGTGAAGGCAGAATATGGAGGCAGTCCGGGGGAGGTAAACTGAGGTCAGGGCACAGGGGAAGGGGAAGCGCGGTGGCGGGAGCGGTCGGGAAGGGGGGCAGGTGTGAGGGTGACGAACAGTATCTTTCTGGGACAGCCAAGAAGAGGGCAGGCGAGTGAGTGGCCAGGAAGAGCCAGTCCTTGTGACTCAGCAAAGTCCGACCTGCTTCGGGTGAGTCAAAGATGACTCCTGAGTATCAGGAACAATGAAACCATTAATTATCGGCAGAAGGGGGTGGGGGCAAAGAGGAGCGTGGAGTCCCCTGCCCCCTCCACTTCTCCTCCCTCCCAGTAGTCCTGGGTGGTGCAAATGGCCACGCACAAAGCCACTAGCTGAAAGGCTGGTGGCTCGAACCCACCCAAAGGGACCACGGAAGAAAGGCCTGGCTGTGTGCCTCCTGCAGCTCTACTGTGGGGCTGCAATCAGGACCGTGACCACGGCCACAAAAGGAGCAGCCCTCCCTGAGTCACCACACCAGCTACCTTTGGGGTCCACTGACGGACGAGAACACACCTCCCCTCTCCCCTACGGGGACTGGGGAGCCGCGATTCTGCCAAGGGTCAAATGGATGTTGGTAAAGTGGTGTGAGGGCCATCTACAGTGATCAACCTAAAACGTAGCCCGCTCTAAAGTTTGGGCAAACACGCTATGAACTCGCCCTCTGGTGTGATGGCTGCAACGGCTTCTCTTCGGCAAGCTCTGTGCTGGTGGCTGGTACTGAGGACCTCCTGGGCCTCAGATGGCTGGCTGTTCCCCACCACTGCCCTAAACTGACTATGCGCTCTTCCATTCAACCAACTCGCCACCAGGAGAGACGTAAAGCAAAACGCAAACACAACCACGTGCTAGTGAGTCAATTCTGACTCACAGAAACTCTACAGAACAGGGCAAAACTGGCCCTGTGGGTTTCTGAGACCATAACTCTTTGTGGGAGTAGAAAGCCTTGTCTTCCTCCCATGGAGCAGCTGGTGGTTTCGAACTGCTGACTTTGCAGTTAGTGGCCTAACACATCACCACTACACCACCAGGGAGAAGTGTGCAGGCCTGAAAACGCAAATGAGCCCCCCAGTGTGAATGAGGCGTGGTTAGAACTTGCACCAGGACTCGGGAGCTTTCCTGGTTTGCCCAGAAAGCTTAGAAAGTAGGCTGGTGCCTTCTCTTTAGAGTCCTTGGCTGCCAATGGAAAGGTAGAAGGTTCAAGTCTATTCAGAGGTAGCTCAGATGCAAGGCCTGGCTTTCTACTTAAAAAAGAAAATGATCAGGTATTGAACATTCTCTGGGGCACAATTCAGAGGCATTCAGTTTCCTGGCCTTTTACTTAAGGATGTAGTCCCAGTGGTGTAGTGCTATGTGTTGTGCTGCTAATTTCAAGGCTGGCAGTTCAAAGCCACCAGCAGCTTCACTGGGGGAAAGGAGAGGCTTCACCTATAATCCAGTTAGTTCCACTCTGCCCTACGGGGTCACTACGAGTCGAGTCGGGATGGCCTCAACAGCAGTGAGCCGGAAGAGAGTAACACCAAACATATGTTCTCTGCCCCAAAGACAGTGTAAGCCAGGGCGTTAGGTGCTGCTTCTGGCCAAGAAGCCTGAACAAAAAGGATGCTGGGGCCACAGGGCGGCTGAGATGCCCGTCCCGGACGAGGCTGGGGAAGCTAGGGAAGGCAGAGAACTTCAGGCTGTAGTCAGCAACTCTCATTTCCTGTTCCTCTCCTCCTCCACCTTTTCCTCTCTACTTCCTCCTTTTTCACATCCTGGCTTGGTGGGCTTCTGCCCCTCTGCTCCCCAGCTGAGAGTCCGGTCAGTTACTCGGCCCACGACTGCCCCCACAGGGAAGTCGGGCTGTCTGCATGCAGCCTGCAGGGCGCAGGAAGCCCCAAAGTCCAGGGTCAAAGAGCAAAGTCTTGGTCTCAAAGTCCAGGGTCAAAGAGCAAAGTCTTGGTCTCACTGGGTCTTCCTCTTGAGCAGTGGTTCTCCACCTTCCTAATGCCGTGACTCTTTCATACAGTTTCTCATGTGGTGGTCACCCCTCAATCATACATTATTTTCATTGCTACTTCATCACTGTAATCTGGTGACCCCTGTGAAAGGGTCGTTCGACACCCCCCAAAGGGGTTGAGACCCACAGGTTGAGAACCACCGCTCTTGGAGGTGTTAACCCACAGGGACCCAGCAACTCAATCTCGAGATGTCACTCTGATGCTCACAGGCTGGTATGTCCCTACTCACATCCGCTTAGCAAAGAGCACACACGGGGACTCGGCAAAGAAAGGATAAGAACCGTCCCCCCTCATGTCTGCACTTTCCGGCCCTTGGGAATGAAAGAGTGGTCATGGCAGCCCCATTTCTGAATGCCTGCTTCCTCTCCCGACGGTCGGGGCTTCCTCTCCCTCACCAGACGGGACAGACCATCAGTTTGGGGAAGGGACAATATCCCCGTGGCTCTGTGGACCGTTTTACACTAGGGCAGGCAGCTGCAGAGGGGCACAGAGACCTGCTGAACCTTTAGTCAAGCACCAAAGCCCAAAGGGAAAGCCAGTCCAAACAAGTCGCCCTTTCTGGTCAAATGTAACTCATGGCCGCCCCAGCGCAGAGCCGGGCTGTGCCCCATGGGGTGTCCAGGCTGGGACCTTTCCAGACACAGACTGCCAGGCCTTTCTTCTACAGCACCCTTGGCAGTTAAGTGCATTTTAAATGCTCAGTGGCTCTTTGACAACTCGGGGCGGGGGGTGGAGGGGGAGAGGGGCCAGGGAGGCTGTTGGCATTTAGGAGGGCTGGTGGTATAGTGGTTCTGTGTTTGGCTGCTAACCACAGAGTCAGTAGTTTGAAATCAGCAGCCACTCCATGGGGAAAAATAGCAGGCTTTCTAGTCTTGTAAAGAGTTACAGTCTTGGAAACCCACAGGGGCAGTTCTGCCCTGTCCTATAGGGCCACCATGAGTCAGAATCAACTTGATGGCAGTGTTTGTTTTCTGGTTTGGTATCTATTAATGAGGAATGCAACTGAGGACTTCAGCTTCAGGAATGAAATAAAAAGCAAGCAGAGCTACAGAAGCCTCACGAGCGCACACGCGGAAAACAAAGGAACACAACGCCTTGAACTGAGCAACTCGAGGGGGCTGCGTGTCCGTTTCAAATCAGCTATGTGCTTAACCACAAAAGGAATGGCGTATCACAGGCAGGATCAGACAGTGAAGGCTTGGGGGGGGGGGACGGACAGGGGGACACACGACCCACTGCCCTCCAGTCAATTCTGCCTCCCAGTGACCCTACAGGAAAGGGACACTGTCCCCGGGGGCTTCCAAATGGAACTCTTTACACAAGCAGACGGCCACAGCTTTCTTCCACAGCGGCTGGTGGGTTGGAACCGCCAACCTTTTGCTTGGCAGCTGAGCACTTCACCATGGTGCTGCCAGAGTTCCTTCGCGAAGAGCTACTTATGCTCCGTTTATAAACATTAATCGGAGCCACTGAACGCCCCGTTGCAAAACAGTAAAACAGTTACATGGCAAACAGTGTGTGATGCGTTTTACTGCAAACATGCATGGCGGTCTCTCCAGAAGGACAGATGTGGTAAGACACGACGGTTATAAAAGGGGGGAAAAATCAACCTAAAGGTTCTTATACCACGAGGAACAGACTTTGGTGGTTACCGGAAGGGGGAAGGGGAAACGACAGACTAGAGCATAGGTGCCCAAACTTACTTGACCTGCCCCCCCTTTTCGGGGGAAAAAGTCTCAGTGCCCCCCTGGCAATTAAAAAAACTTCTGTGCTACTGCCCACCCTCTAGGACTGCTGTTTTCAACCTGTGGGTCTCGACCCCTTTGGGTGGAATGTCCCTTTCCCTTTCACAGGGGTCACCCGATTCATCACAGTAGCAAACTGGCAGTGATGAGGTAGCAACGAAAATAATTTTATTGGGGGGGGGCACCACCACACGAGGAACTGTATGAAAGGGCTGCGGCATGAGGAAGGTTGAGAACCAGTCCTGGCACAAAGTCTAGGTATCTGCCCCTTCCACCAGGGGGCGGCCGCCCACTTTGGTAAATACCGGGCTATAGGCTAGACAGGTGTTAACTTAGGGGAAGGGCAAGACAAGCTCCAACCAGAGGGAGTGGGGGGCAAGGTGAGGCATATGGGAGGCTAGGGCAAAGCAAGCTACCGGGAGGTTGGATAAGTTGTTGACGTGGTTGAATACAGAAATGGTGATGTGAAATGCAAAACCCGTCTAATTCACGATAACAACTTTTAAAAAATTCATGACAGCCATTCAAAAGGTTTGATGAGAACCAGGGAGGACAGATTTGGGAAAGGGGATGAGGAAGGCTGCACCAACTGAAGAAGGTCATCATTGTTGCTGCAAACGGTTGAACTGAGGCTACGTCCTGCTGCGTGCTATTACCTACCCGCACCCCCACCAAGGGCTTAAAAGAAATCTAAGAGGTAGAAGGACACTTGGGGAAAACGTATACTACCAGGGTGGTAGCACCCGGGGCAGTTATTTCCCTGCTTTTCCAAACAGCCTGTAATGTTATAAAAGCTTGCTTCCAGTGGAACAGACGGGTGGAGTCTCCACGCAAGGCTCAATCAGGGGCCGGTTCTTACCTACCTGCGAGGGAGTGAGGTGGGAGGGCAGACATGCTCCAGTCGGCTTACCTGAGGTTTAACTTCCGATCGTCGTCGCTGCCAACCTCCAGCTACCAAGAAACAAAGAGCAAGTCAGCCATCAGACACGCGGTTATCAACAGCCCCGGTCGCAGTCTGCTCTGGCTGCCCGGGCAGGAGATTCATGTCCAGGAAACTGGGTGGCTTGAACCAACCACGTCCTCCCCTTGCCAGTCCCACACAGAGCAACGCCCAGGAAGCAAGTCGCAGGTTTCCCCACGTTGACCCCCGTGCTGGCCGCTGTGCTGGCCACGGATTCCTGTGACGGCACATTTCCTCTCTGACACTCTGACTCAGGCTCTCCCAGCCCCCGGTGTCAACTTTTTAGACTGGCGCTGTTTGCTTCTGTCTTTGGTCAGAGCGGAGGGATGTCTCCTGCAAGCCGGTCAGGAGCTAAGGGTTCATCCATCACCAAGTCCCCAACACACGGCTTTTAAGAAAGGCAGGTAAGCCTCGAACCATAGCAGGGGGGCCAGGGCCCGAACGCCTGCCTGTGCATCACAGCTGCTGAGATGAGAGTAGACGTCAATGTCTCAGCCCGGGCTTCAAGGGTTTCGGGGCGATTTGCTTGATTTATAGATAAACCACAGGGACCTAACACCAAACGCACTGCCACCCTTATGGGGCAGAGTAGAACTTCCCTTGTGGGTTTCCGAGACGGTGACTCTTTACGGGAGTAGACAGCCTCATCTTTCTCCCCATGAAGCGGATGGTGGTTTTGAGCTGCTGACCTTGTGGCTAGCAGCCTTCTGTGTAACGACTACACCACCAGGGGTCCACACTGAAAGGGAGGGATGCTTCATAGTTTCTGAACGCTACGAGGCCAAGGGGATTAGAGCCCCAACGTAACTGCGACTTTAACTCCTATAGTGATTTCCCCCCCTTCCTTTAAGAGAGAAAACTGAAATGAGAACACACACACACACACACACAGGCATATACACACATGCTCCACCCATGGCCCTCCCACCCCAGTAACTGACCACTGGGCTGCGCCACGTTGTTTGTTACACAGACACGGTCACTCAACGGGATAGAGAAACCTGGGAATTGGTGACGGCTGGGAGAGGTACAAAGTCGAGCAAGGGCAGAAATGAGACAGAAGCTACCGGGGACCAGAAAATGGGCCATTTCGACAGAGGTAGCCAGGGAGCCCTCAGGTTTATGCAGATGTCCTCTGTTTAGGAGTCCCAGGGTGGCACAGACAGGTAAGCCCTCGACGACCAGCCCAGAGGTTGGCAGTTCAAGCCCACTCAGAGGAATTTCAAAAGATAGCCTGGAGATCTGATTCCTTTGCGGTAGGGTCCTGCTGGACGGCTGGGGTCCTTACAGCACCATGCAGCTGCAGAGGGCTGGTGGCTAATGCTGCCCACTCTCCTTATCTGCAAGAGCCCTGGTGGCACAGTGATTAAAGTGCTCAGCAGCTGACAGGACCCATCATTTGCTGAGCAGGAGAAAGATGAGGCTGTCTGCTTCCTCGGATGATGACCTCGGAGACCCACAGGGGGCCATGCTATACTCTGTCCGGGAGGGTCGGAACGGGTCGGATTCAACCCGCTGGCACGTGGGCTAGGAGTCCACCCTAGAGAACTGAAAAACCAAACTCCCTGCACTGAGTCTGTTCTGACTCACAGCAACCCTACAGGGCAGGGTGGATCGCCCCCGTGGGTTTCCAGGGCAGGAACCCCTTCTACAGAGCGGCTGGTGTTCCAAACGGCTGGCCTCCGGTGTGTCATCCAGGATGCCGCTGGGGTTCTTTCCACTCAGACGGGGAAAGGAAAACTGGGAATGTGCTTCTAACTACAGGGTCACGGGCTGGGGGGGTGGGGGTGAAGCACAAACAAAACAACGCATATAACCGCTAGCAGCTCACGAGAGTCAGCTACCCATCAGGACACGCTTGCCTCTCAGGGGAGTCTGGGCAATGGCTGGCGACACCTCAGGGGTAAGGGGAGCTGCCACTGGCACAGAGTAGCAAATGGCCAGGACAGCCGCTGCCGAGAGAGAACTTTCTGGAAGCCAGTGTCAGTCGTGCTGAAGCGGAGACACTCTGGTCCAACCCCCAGCAGTGACTGGAAAACTGCCCATGAAAATCAGCCCCTGACAGGCCAGTAACGTCATGCTCCACTCCTGGGCCTGACGGCTATGTGCCTGCGGTGCTCTGAGGCGGCTGGGGGGCTGAGCCGTAAAGTGACCTCAGTGAGGTCATGAAAGACGGGAGGAAACAGGACGAGGAAAGCATCGCTTTACCCTTGGGGCGACTTCCCTGTGTTTCCCATGTTCCCCCGTGCCACGTACTTCAGATGAGCTGAGACAGATGGGCACCTGACCAAGATCAGATCAGAGGCGGAGCCGGCCTGGGACCTGGGTCTCCTGACTCCCCACACAGGGTCCTTCCATCCTGCCTCACTTCCAGCCTCAGCCCATCTGGGAGGAAGCGCCCTTTTCCCGGAACAACCCAACCCGCCCTCACTGTCTGTGCTCCTGAGGCTGATCATGTCCTGAAGTCCGGTCAGTTTAATTCTCTAGTTAGCATGTCCCTGGCACTTAGGAGGAGGCCTGGTGGCACGGTGCTTTCAGTGCTCAGCTGTCAACCAAAAGGTTGGCACTTTAAAGCCGAAAAAGAGGTGCTCGTCAGCCCCTGTGGTGGTGGCTTAGAAGACCTGGGAGGCCTGTGGGACCGTGAATCAGTTTTGTTTTTGCTTTTGAGAGAAGTAAGCCTTTATTTCTTTGTTTCACAAATCAAGCTGGCTGCTTTCGTTGCTTTTCCAGTGATTCGTCACAGACCAAAGGGCGTGTCTTTGTCCGACTCCTCCTCGGCTTTCTGCCTGGCCAGGGCCAAAGTAGCCATAGTGGTAGCAGCAGCCACAAATGCAGATGGACTGGCCAAGAGGACCGTGACCTTCTCGGTCAGTGGAAGGTGTCCTCAGTCTCCACAGACAGAGCCAAGACCCACTTGCACCCATTGATGCGTGAATGGGGCGTGGAAGCAACAGCCGGTTGGTAGTTATATAATTTCATGTCAACTTGAAGTGTAGGGGTGGAGTCCAGTCTGATTGGTCACAGCCTGATGATGCCTCCCTGTGAGGGTGACCTCCTAAGGAGGGTCCTGGGAACCTCCCTCTGCCTCGGCTTCACCTTCCTGCTGGCAAGCTACGCAGAGACCTGCTGGAAACCTGCATGACCCCCCCCTGGAGATGCGTCCACTGCCAGTGGATCCACAAGACTTTGTACCCACCGGCCTGTGATCTTCCTGCATTTTGCATCATTGCTTGTGGCTGCATGTGTCTGAAGAGATTTATGGACTAGTATCAGACTTATGGACTTGATTCGGAGTGGGCTGGGATGTGTTCTTGATATCCAATTACTCCTTGATATAAAGCTCTTTCTTACACATATATGAGGTCAAGGAATCTATTTCTCTAGTCACCCCGGCCTAACACAGGACAGTCGGATCATCAATCTGCAGGAACACACTGGCAACATCGTGGACACCCTACAGGAAGCAGGAGGGCAGCGCTTCCTCTGTGGTGAATCACTTTTAAACACACTTTCTTGTTCAGGTCTTGTTGCACCCACCAAATGACTTGGTAAAGCTATGCAAATAGGACACATGGCACCCTTCTGGGGAGGGGCTATGCAAACAAGGTATATGGACTCCAACAAGGGGATTGGTTGGTTTTGCCATCCCATCAGGCTTAAAATAAGTCCTTCTGGAGACCTCACTACCATCAAGAAGAAGAAATGGAAACAAGAATATCCTTTGAACCCAGGATCCTTGTGCTGAGAACCTCCTAGACCTAGGACATGAAGAGGTAGACCTATTAACACCTGAGACAGCACAAAATCTTGAGAACCGGTGGCAGCCGTGGCAAGAGACCAGTATGAGGCAGTGGGTTTCTGGCCCAAGGAACAAGGCAGTTTCAAGGTGTGTACCGGTCCAGAGTGAGAGAGCCAAGCGTCTCCAGGAAAGAGGCTTTCGACAGAGCTGCGGGGCTTTGTAACACTTGCCTGAGCAGGTGAGAGGCTAGGCTGAGGGACCAATGAGAGGCTTGCCAGGGGCACCGCTGAGAAAAGGCTGTCTTGATCAAGGAACGGTCTCTCCAGTCGTTCCTGATCCTGAATAGTAACCTGCTATTTCCCTTATAAAAACACCAAACTCCTTGCCACGGAGACCATGCTGACTCATAGCAACCCCCTTAGGGATTTCCAAGACTGCAACTGTTAATGGGCGTAGAAAGCCCAGTCTGTCTCCCGAGGTGCAGCTGGTGGTTTCGAACCGCTGCCCAGGCAGATGGCAGCCCAACATGTAGCCACTCCACCCTAACAGACGTTCGCCTTGTGAACCTGGCTGTGTATGGACCCCAGCAGAGAAGGAGAGCGTGCCGTGGGACGGATGGCTACTGTCAGAACTGATGAGAAGGCGAGAGAGGGGAGGGACGCCTGACCTCCACCTCACAGAGCTCAGCCGGGAGCTGATGTTGGTGGCAACGTTCTCTCCCTAGTGAAGCAACAGGGCCGCTGAGGGCAGCCTGCCGTTCTCACAGGGCAGTTCTACCCTGTCCTGCAGGCACCGCTCCGAGTCGGGCACTTAGTCAAAACCGTGCTTTGGTTTGGAAAGCGAGCAGTGGTGATGGTGACATAGCCTGGGAAACGGCATTCCTGTCGCAGAACTGTTCGCGTCTATGCGCTTGAATTGGCGACTGCTGGGGTACACGGTTCACCAAAATTTTTGGAAATCTGAAAAATGCTTTTTGTAATAATCACTAAAGAAGAATCCGATGCAGCTCCAATGTCCAACAAAACACTCTACTTCCAAACGGTGGGAAGTATTGTTGGCGGCCATCAGACCAACTCCAAGTCACCCGCTCCATGCCCTTTCAGAAGCGGACCGCCAGGTCTTTCTTCAGCGTCACTGTCGGGTAGGTTCAAACCACCAAACCTCTTGGGATCAGTAGCAAAGAGCAAACTGTTTCCATGCCACGGGGGACACAAACCTTGAAAACATGATGCTAAGCGAAAGAAGGC